CTTGTGAAAATGACGTCATTTGGAGCCAGAGTCTGCGCAGTAGTGATTCATTTGGAGGCCAAGTCTGGGCAGTAGTGATCGTGAGGTGGAGCCACAGTATCAAAGTCCCGGCCAAACTCCCACAGATCCAATCGCAAGCTCACAATCATGATGCCACACCCCATTTTATAGCATCAAATAACCAACTAAAGGCAAACTTATTAGAAAAACAAACACTTCAACATACATCAGCATGATAAGAACTACCTAAAATGATGGAAACCATGTTTGGAAAAAAATATTTGAAGTGTAATTTGATTATTTAGTTTGTCTCACGTCCCATTAGATTACATTGAGAGGGTGGGGTTTATGACCTATATTTATGACCATTGTGCTCACGTCTTGCGTCTTTTGTGGTCTCTTGCCACTCATCAATGCCAGTTCCAAAACAATGGACCAATCAGAAGACCCTAGAGGCGGGGCAAGCTTTGCAAGCTTTTGTTTACAGAGCAAGTTGGCATTGCAACTGTATCATTTGACGGCAACATGGTGGAGGAGGCATTATGAGGCTAATGACAGAACTGTTATTTTTAGATGAACTATTCCTTTAGTACCTTTGTGTTGCAGGGGCTTTAACTCAGTTGACAGCCAAACTTCTGCAAAGGCACAGAGGCCCCGGAGGAAGCCACTTCTCTTGTGCGACCCAGATATAAGCACCCTTTGCGGGTCAGCTGCTTTAAATTTGTCCTCCTCCTCTCACATTGACCCAGAATCTAACGGTCACTCTGCAAGTGGACAAAAGAGGACACCTCTGTTTTCTTGAGCTACTGCTCCATATTTACCAAAATTAAATCAGCATAGCCACCTCACGCCGCTCGAAAACCTCACGCTAAAGACAACTTGCCAAGCCCAGTTGTCTGTTTGCATGGGCCACAAAAGAGAGGGAGCTTTAATCAAGATGTAAAAAACTAATATGACAGCCACTGCAACCCAGCAATCGACCTCCTCCCTGAAATAAGTGCTTCCATTAACAAACCTGCGAGGTCAATGATACGCCCCAAATCGCTATTTTCAGCTCCTCATTTTGCGCGGTGGTGCCGCTAGACTGAAAAGACTCATGCTGTTCTTTTTGAGCTTTAGGTACAATCATGCTGAAAAACAGATCTGCCTACATGCAGAGCAAGGCGCATGGCACAGGTCTCGCATTCGATACGTGCCAGGAGAAAAAATGAGAGATTTGTCAAGAGTGGCCCTTTTATCTGGGACTGATTCGTGATCGCTCTGTCCTTGTATGTCTCTGTCAAACGGATGTAGGATGCTGACAGGCCTACTGAAGCAAGACAGGTGAAGAGGACATGAAAAGACATCCAGTGGCTTGGAAAACACGGAGGCATGTCAATGAATCTCCACATAACACACTCGACAACTCTCTATTGCCGCAAAGGCCTCGAAACACAATTAAATCAAGTCGCACATCGTGAGATGAGGGTATTGAAATCCTAACGCAGGGCTATTTATGCCCAGACAACTGAACACGACCCAACACGTGTATTAGCCCACACATGGCACCAACCATTACGGCCAAAGGCTCTCAGAGGCCAATCGTGAGATGAACTCATCCACAACAACTTGCGCTAAGGGCCTGTGATGGGAATAGTCAAATAAGCTGAGTAAATCACGGTCTAAAGCAGCGCAACGATGCATCCCAAACCCTCGCCACTGTCAGTCTGCCTTTACTAATAAAGCTAAGACCAGCCTGTTGCTAGGTAACCTATACATAGGCCTCCCCCAACCCCCCACTTGTGCTGGAGATTCTTGGTCCGGCGTAAAAAACAGCTCCTCT